CCCCACCTCCCCTTTCCTCCTGGTACCATTCTGTGATATTTCTACTTAGTGGGCATCTCTCCTCTATCTGAATGCATCCTGGGATGAAGAATTCAGACCCTCCGTAGGCGGCCCAGTTCATTTTAGGTCGGTATAGCTATCAGAAAGTTCTCTCTGAGTGGAGCTGATCTGTCTTCTGCGTCCTCTACTCCCCAACTGCCATAACTGCCTTTCCAACTCAAAGCCAGTCCTGGGGGCGGGGGAGGGGTTGGGTTCCGTTTGCTCCAGGAGTGCCCTTCAGGTGGGAAGGCAGTTATGACAAGTCTCCCTGACTTTACAAAGTTCTCCTTTACAATTTCTTAAGATCGAGATAATAATAACAATTCAGATCAGACCATTTCTTGATTTTTCAAGTGTATGTTGCTATAATCCACAGCTATAGGAAGCCACTTGCCCTGATCCCTTGTTAATTTTTCTGTTTCAGCTCTGTAGGGCACATCAACACACTCTCCACTGGCCACCCCAAACCCTCAGAGTATTCTGTCCAGGTAAATATGCTGGGGTATTTTTTTCTATAAGATCCAGGGGAAGGTTGGAGACTAGAGCTTATCTTATTTACCTGTCGACTGGCTGGAGATGTGACCAACCTTGGAAGATCCTCATGGAGATTGGTCACATCTCCAACCAATCGAGAGGAATTGATTACATGGTATTTCTAAAAAAGTGTTGCCCAATTCGCCAACCTCCAGGTTAAAGAAAAAACAAAAAGAGGCTCTCACATGTAGACAGAAGGAAACTTTCTCCAAGCATATGAAGGATGGGACACCTTTCTAAACTATCTTTACTATTTCTACTCTTAGAAATGGGCAGCAATGTATTGGAGCCAGTGACTCTCCAGAGATCCTAAGTAGGGGCGGGGCCGGGAGTGGGGAATAAATCATTTCCATGCATTCGGCATTCTTCTAGCCATCCACTTATCTGTGCAACCAACACTGTAAATTGCCCATTGGGTACCCATTGCTTACCATCAAACAAGGAAGGAAGAATGGGGCTTTTGTGCTCTACACTCTTACCAAGGCTGATGCCTCATTTTAAAACAGCTACTGGAATTTCTCAGTATAAATAAGATTTGATCTTCAGTGTAGTCTTCTTGGAAGATTACAAGAAATGTATTACAAATGTCCCTGGCTCAAGATTTTTCTGTTAAGTCTCTTTGGAAATTGCCCCCAGAGCTTCTGAGCCACACACAAAAAATTAGTCTCGGTATTTTCAGGACTTTATCCAAAAGAGTTTTTCCCAGTTTGATCATCCACTTTCTTTACCTACCTTGGTCCCAAAGTTAAACCCACCATGAGAGGATGGGATGGTGCTGCCCAGGAAGTGTAGGAGTGAGGGAACAGCACTGGACATGCTGCTTTTGAGTCACCCTTAGTGACAAGTCTTATGTGGTGGTAGTTTTTTTTTTTTTTTAAAGTTTCAGTGTTTTATAAGTTAGTAAGTGCTGACCTACACAACAAGGTCAACATGCTTAGAAATGGTGAATAAGGCACCCCCTAGTGGAGTCACCATGTATATTAGCATAATAAAGGTTCTAAGAAGTCCTGCATCAAGGAACCTGTTTAACTCAGGGCTCACCAAACTTACATGGCCACCAGACCTTTTTCATGGAAAAACAACAATTTTTGAAACACCCATCGAGGCAAGTTTTACAAACTCAGATTTTAGTGATGCCTGAACAGTAGAGGCAGAAATTCCCTTCCCCCTGACTCACACCTAGGAGACAGGTGTCCACACCTCCTTCTCACTCCTCAGGTCGCCTCCTCAGAGAGGACTTCCTGGACTACCCTTTCTAAACGAGGCCACTCCCCTCTTGTTATTCTCCATGACAACCTTCTTTGCCACCATCTGTCTTTTTTCTGTCTTCCCCACCAGAACATATGCTTGTTTGCTGCTGTGTTCCCAGCACTTAGCACCACAGATCTGACACACAGAAAGTGTCAGGCGCATATTGGTTGGTTGGTGGACAGACGTGATGAAGGGGAAGGCGTGTGCCCCGTGCACCACGGTATGTATGGCTGGCCCTTCCCGCCCCATCTCTCTCACAGATTGCTCCTCTGCCAGCTGGAAACTATTGGGTTGTCAGAAAAGTCATGACGCATTTTTGCAACGAAAAACATAGAAAAAATACGTCATGACTTCTCCGACAACCCAATATGAGCACACAGAGTTTGCTCAGTGAAATGATCCAAGTAACCTGGAGGTTGCCCAAGGAGCTACAAGGTGCTCCTTTAGATGCTCAAGACAACTTTACAAACAGACTCAAAGGCAGGGTGGCAGAAAGTCGGATTCCTTACAGCAGCTAAGCCAGGTGGCCCTGGGCTTTTCAGCTGGCCTTTCTCTCGGGGGTCCCGGGAGAGAGGGCCCAGCTGTTGAAAGCTCCTTCGTGCTCTGGCCAGGCACACGTTTCCTGCCCGGCCTGCGGACGGGGCTCACGATTGAAGGCCTGGGGTCCAGGCCTCTGTGGGTGGAAGGGCTTCGGTGCTTACTTGGACTGTCCTCGGGTCCCGAGTCTCCTGGTGGTTAACTGAGGAAACTGCTGCCTTATGATCTGTAAGTCAACACAGGAAATCAGTTACTCGTCGGGAAGAGTTGGGAGCACTGGGTTTCACAAACAGCAATCTAAAGAAGGGAGGAAAACATATATCCTTGGTTGCAATGACTTATTAGAAGTCTGTCAGGACCCCGAGATGACAAATGGTGTCAGGGAGGTGGGAGGGGAGCCTCTGAGTGATTTTGGGGCTCTGGATCCTGAGGGGGTCTCGGTGGCTCTGTGCTTCACCCCTCCTCCTCACAATGTAGGGAGAGGACCGGGTGATGCAGAACTTGTCTGTCCCCTGCTTAAAGTCCTCCAATGGCTTCCATCACACCTGGAGGTAAAACCCACGCCCAGCCTCTGGAACTGGGTCCCTACTAACTTCCAGGGCTTCAGACTTCGTCTTCTCCCATTCTCACCCTTGCTCACCAGGTCCCAGCCACACTGGGTTTTCTTTTTTTCCTTCCTATTTCCAAAACACAACCAGCCTTGCTCTCCCCACTGGGGACCTTTGTATTGCAGTTCCCTCTGCCTGGAATGCAATCTCCCCCGGATCTTCACAAGACTGGCTCCTTCTCTTACAACATGCGGGCTCTGGGGGAGGTCCCTGTGCCCACTGGCCTTCTCTGACAAGCCAATGCAGAGTCGCACAGCAGGCCCTCACCTTCATGCGCCCCCGCTTTATGGCTTCTCACTTAGCACCTCTGAAGTGATCTTGTTCCCTTACCCTGAGTGCTTACTTTTTGAACCCCTGACCCCCACTAGAATGAAAGCTCTATGAAAGCAGGGACCTGGCACAAGCCTTGGCACATGTGAAGACCTCCATCTCCATTTGCCGAAGGAAGGCAGGAAGCCCTGCCCTCGAGGGTATCCTTTCCTTGAGTGGCGGGTGGTAACTGCTACTGCCCAGGACAACCACATAGATTCGCCAGAAACCTGGGAGGAGGGGCCATCTGCCACGGTGAAAACACAACCTAAGGGCCTCACCCCTGGTGTTTTCAGCGCGGATGTCTGTGGGGAGGCCGGACAGTGCAGGACCTATGAGAGGTTTTAGAGCTAGATGACCTGAACTAGATCCAAGCTCAGCCTTTAGTTAACTGGGGCCGGCTAAACTTCAAATGACTCAGTTTCCTCATTTATAAAATGGGAGTGGTCGTAGCCCCTACGCTACAGAGTTTTTGTGAAAATCTAAAAAGTAAACGTATGTGAATAACTTGCAACAGTGCCTGGTACTTAGTAAGGACTCAATAAACTTTACCCACTATGACCACTGATGTCCTGATGACTCATTTCCTTTTACTTCCAGGGACTTTTCTCTGAAGTCCCACCAAATTCTTCCAGACTCCCTTCCCTTCTAGTACAGCATCAAGCAGGCATGCACAGTCAGAGAGAGAGAGCCTGCAGTGTCCTTCATGAGACAAGATGCTGGTGCTGATGTCCCACTGGCGGGGCGTGAACACCGAGCACTTTCTCAGAGATGGGGATGAATCCGTTGATCCATTCATACTGTCTTCCATCCACACTGAAACTCTCGTTGATTGATTTGCTCGTTCACTCAACAAACATTTACGGTGACCCTGCTAGGTGTTTGAACTTGGACCTACTGTTTAAGCTCTCTGTGCCTTAGCTCCTCCTCGGACATCTGGGGACTCAGGGGTTTATGTAGTCCTCTCCTAATTAGAGGGTTGGGTGATGGTGGCCTCAACTCAACTGGCATCAGTGGGATGGAAAGAAGCAGGCAAATTAGAGAGAAACTGAGAATCTAGAATGAGTAGCGTGAAGACTGACCACGTCCGTATGTTAGAAAGCTAAACAGTGGCGAATGGGCAGCGTTTCCTCATCTGAAAATGGATGGAAAAAGCTGCATTCCTCACAAGGATGACTAGAGGATCTAAAGAAATAACATCACGATACCACTTTTAGAAGTAAAACGGGGCTTCAAAAATGTTATCTCATAGTGACGATACTGAACAAAATGATGCAACAATTCTGTGATTTTTTGGGGGGGGGGTCTTTTTAAAAATTATTAGTTTCAGGTGTCTATGAATTCTTTAATGGTGTCACTGTTGTAGGCAAATATCCTTGGTTTCTTTAACCCTAAGTTCTATCAGCCAAGGACATGCGCTTCTCACTTTGTCTATGTTCCTCTCAAATTGTTCTGATCTGAAGACAACGTGATATATTCAGGATGGGGTCTGACCCGGGGTCAGTGACAGAGCTCTCTAGGTACTATGTCCCGTTATGCAGTCTAAGACCACCTCAAGGTCTAGTGGCTTCATCACCCTGGGCCACTAGTGCTACCCCTGGCCCAGCATGCCCTCCAGACCTTCATCACATGACTGGTTTCAGAGCCAAGATGAGAAGCAGCTGTTCACAAAGGGACACTAATGAACAGATATCGATAAGCCAATAGAGACGGAGAGAAAATAATGGAAGCATAAAGATGCGGCTAGGGGATTCTTCACACTGGTTAAAAGTGGGTTATAATTTTGGTTCTGAGTTTCCCACCTACCCAAGCTAAGACGATAATACAATGAAGTTACAAGAGTCCCAGCATCCATAAGATAAACATATACTACAGTAGTTGCTGAGGAAGAGCAGAGATCTCCCTATAGTTCAGTCTGGGAAATTTCTCCTATGCAAATGGGCAAACAGCGATAAGGTACCGTGTTTAATGCTCTGATACTAGCAGACAGTTTGAAAATGACAATATTGAGTGCTATTATGGGTATGGTAAAACTGAAATATTCATACATTGCTGAGAACATCATTTATTAGTACAACCCTTCCCCAAAGCATTTTTCCAATAAAAATATTCATACTTTTTGATCTATTAATTCCAAGGAAATAATAAAAAATAAGAAAAAGCTATGCAGAGGGCTACTAATGAGAGTGAAAAACTGGAAACAAAATAAATGTCCAGTGATAGGAAGCTGGCTAAATAAATGATTATATATACACTCAATACAATATTATGCAGGCTTTTAAAATGATGGGAACGAAAACTATGTCACAACCCAGAAAGTGCTTATAACATAATGTTAAATGAAATAGCAGACCTCAAACTACACTTATGCTATCTATGATTACAATTTATGTTTGTACAAATATAGGAACAAAAAGGGGATATGGAAAAATAAAAATGGATGCCTGTTAGGGTAGTGGGATTGAGGGTAGAACCAAAGGTGTTTGTATAACATTTGCATAAGAAATCAACTCTTTTTGCAAATAGAAAAGGATTTTCCTATGAGAAATATTCCTAATTGACAAAGGAAGTTCAAGCTAATTTTGAAAGAAGCACCAAAAATATACCAGAATATTATAATGGTTGTTTTTTTTTTAAAAAAATAAATCATCCCCTAGTCCCTGTAAACAATAACTAGATAATTTTTAAAAGCTGCATTTTTATTTTTATTTTTTTTGGTTGCTAAGTTTTATTATTACTTGATTGAAGAGAATGGGCCAAGTTCTGAAATCTTTCTAAGTGTTTATCCACATGGTGTCCCACATAATGTCCAAAAAGCAAACAGCAGTGCTGGCCCTTGGCTAAGCCACCAGAGGCCACAAACCCTGGTCTAGAGACGCCCAGAGAGCCCCTGGGAAATGAGGTAAAGGCCTTCTAGAGCTGTCTGTTCTACCTCTATGAGGCAATAAAATGTACAATTGGCGTGTCTGTAATTTTTTGCCGTATGATCTTGAGGAGTTAACAAGTCTCAGAACGGGGCCTGTGAATTCGCCCATCAATTTATGATTCCCTCCATAGCTGATAGGTTTTACTTATCCATTTTGAATAATGTCTGGATCAATACAGGCAGTTTTACAATCTTTGCGATCAGCATCACTCTCTACTGAGTCACCCAAGACAGAGGTAGGAGGGACGCCACTCTCTTCCTGACGCTGCACAACCCACATCCTATTGATTCTGCCCAAGATGTCTCCCGAGCTCAGTCACTTCGCTATCCCCTGCCAGTGTGCCAGCCCCCTCATGACCACAGACACATGCTCCTCCAGCCTTGCTGAAATCCAAATGCAATCATTTCATTTCCTGTTTAAAACAGTAGATGCCTTCTTGCTGGATAAACTGGATAAGAACCCAGCCTCCTAAGGCTGGTCCACAAGGCCCTTTGTGACCTACCCCTGCACGACTCCCCAGCCTCAAATCCTGGCCCCCACCCCCACCCATGTGCTCCCTGAGCTCCAGGCACATGCTGGTCCCACCACTGCACATGCTGTTCCCTTCCCTCTACCTGGAATGCCAAACCCATGCTGGCCTCCACTCACACCTGAGTAGCGCCTCTCTTTCTCTGAGCCTCTCCCACTACCCATGTCCCTTCTCAATGAAGCCATATATGTCCCCTGTCTGTGTTTTCCTAGTAATTTGGGAAGAAGTGGTATACAGTCATTAAGTGCACAGGCTTTGGGGTCAAGTCCTGGCTCAGGCACCGAGCCAACCACTTTACATGTATTAGCTCAGTTGATCATTACAACAAGCTGGCTTCCGCTGCTATTCCCTCGGTACAGTAAGCTTGGAGAGGCTAAGGAACCCGCATAAAGCCACAGAGCTGACGACACGCAGACCTGGCATTTGAATGTACTCAGTCTGACTCAACAATACCACAATACTATTACCTCTGGATCAATGAATGTACCCCAAGGCCCCTCATTCCTTCTTTTAATAGCAGCCTTTATTGCTTTTATGTCATATTCCTGCATTTACACGTTATGTGTGTTTGAGGAATGAAATACTTTCTTGATCCCATCTACTCTTCAATGAAGATTTCTCTTCAATTCCCCTAACTTTGACATTCTTGGAAATGTTCTGGTGGCTTCTGCTAGGAACAGGATTTGAGGGCCCTGTCCCCAAATACGCTAGGGAAAGAGGGAAAGAGCCGAGAGGGCTGACATCAGCAGGCAGCCTGGTGTTTCCGCTTAGGTTAAATCTACCCCCATCCAGTCAAGTGGAAATCTGACAATTAAGCACTTCTTCCGCTTAATCAAAATAGTAACTAAACAAA